TGGAATATTGCATCCAGTTTTGGAGGCCTACAAATAAGGGCGATTTGTTGGCGCTCGAGGGAGTACAGAGGAGGGCCACAAGAATCATTAAGGAGGTTAGGGGACTATCATACGAGAAGCGTTTAGAAGTGTTGGGACTGTACTCGCTCGAAAGAAGGTTAAGGAGGGGCGATCTCATCCAGGCTTTCAAGATAATTAAAGGAATAGATAATGTCGAGTGTGGTAGGTTTTTCCAGTTTGATGACAGCAAGAGAACGAGAGGTAACCGACTTGAGTTGCGCAAACCGCAGGTGCGGCTCAGGTCGAGACAGGAATTCTTTACTTGCAGAGTGGTGAACGCGTGGAATGCGTTAGATGACGAAGTAGTGGCTGCCCCTTCTGTGACTATCTTTAAGAAGAAACTAGATTCTTTCAAAAAATGTGAATTCCCATGTCATGCACTCGATCTCCCATTCTTCCCCGACCGATACCGAAGCACGGATATTTTGCCGTGAATTCGTCGGTAAACTTGCATTTGCGTTACGGCGCCATGCAGAAGACTGAGGGTGGGCCTACTCGGGAGCACCGTGAGTGAAAAAGTGAGCGTCCTGAACCAAGAATTCTCGAAAAAAAACACCAAATTTGTAGGCTTCGTGTCCACTAAATCCAGGAGTCGGTGACGAAAAAAAAATTCCAAAGACCTCTTGCAAAATACAACGGGCTGAAAACCAGCGTCGGGAATATCCCATCATGGCGTGTGGCGAGCGGAGCTGCATTCAGTTCGGAACTCTATATTTGCACGGCTTATTACTGAAATACTTTGGTACGTATGATATAGTCCATGCTTATTACATTACATATCAACTGATACACTAACCTCGTGGATGCATCTAGGCGAAGAAGTCCTTCATAGAGCTTCAAAGTGCATTAACACGTTCTCTGCCGATGGCGCACGTGCGCGTCAAAGGCGCATTGCTGTTTCTATGCCTTCATTTCTCTGTCAAGGCTTGGGGTTTGGCTTTATAGCCTAGCAGAAGCCGTGCGTCTAGGCTGCGCATTTGGTTTCTGCGCAGCGTCATTACGTGGGGCATCTGAGTTCACTGAGATTCGTTGAGAATGGCTCATGAAAACAAGGATGAAGCTGTTTAAATTAGAAACGTGAGACGTGCTGATTCTCACCGCGGAATTCAAAGCGATGGCGACCGTGAAGTCTCGACGAGAGACCCCAAACGGAGGGAATAGGAAGCAGGAATCGACACGAATTCGACAACTGTTGACTGGATTTCGACGTCGGGTTCCTACCTTTTGAGTCTCTCGTGCACGCCTCGTTTCCTCCGCCAAAAACATTTACTTCACTTCTACGTGTCTGTGACCAGCATCGGAGGATATTTCGTATATGCCCATTTTCTTGTCATTGCTAGTCATGGGTTCGTCTTTTTCTTCATGTCATAATATTATAGTGAATCGTTAGTTAATCCCGATCTGTCCCATTTTCGCTTGCCACTCTTCCTTATTTTCGGTACTTTTAAGACTGAACCCAGCGTCCATGTGACACTAGCACCGGGTTCCCATCCCTCTATCCACATGACATGAAGAAAACAGCTTTGATTCCAACATTTACCTGCAGTTGTAAGATAATGTCATGCAATTGTGGGAAATAATATACACGAGATGTACAGAAATGATGTACGTGGGCCTATCAAAAAGTTCCCGGACCACCTTCATAAGATGCACAGAAGTTAGGTTTCAGTATGATGGCCTCATGTGAATATAATACAGTAGAACTCGGTTATAACGTCATCGAAGGGACCAGGGAAAAATCATCGTTATACCCAAGGTTGCCTTTATTTTCCTTTTCCTGTTATTTTCCTATTGCCCTTTTCCTGTTTTCAAAATTGATGCTATTATAACTTTACAACTCCAGTATGCATCGATAATGCCACACTAGCTTCAGTTTCAGGATTAACCCGCTAACCGTAATGTTCCCACTTCTTTGGACCTTGAACTACTTCATACTTTAGCAAGGCCTAGTTGACGTCATCTCGATAGATAGATCTACGAAGTTTCTTGTTTTGTGATATGTTCTCGTAAGCACGGATGTTGTCACGATTTTTCCAAATTGTGGAAACGAACAGATGTCCGTTTTTCGCGGAGTCTTCGTCTTTACTTCGAGCACTTTCTAATAATTTAATCATGCACACTTTCCTTTCAATCGTGAAGGCTTGCCTCTCTCGCTTTCCACTGGCCATGTTGTGAACTAGAAATGTAATGGCGACTGAAGATAAGATGATCTTGTTGGTTAATGGGATCCCCTCACCCTCCTCCAGTCACACCCACACGACTCCCAAGGAATGCCGATTCCAGGAAAGATAACGTTATGGCTAGCCAACGCTCGTTTTTCCTATGGTGGGAATTCCAGTTAAGAATGACGGATTAGGGACGTCAACGTGGTCAATTTCGTCAGTGGGACCTTCAATGGACTTCGTTATAACCGAGGTAAAATGTAACGTGCCTTATAGGCTCTACGCTGGGACCTGGCGCCTTTCGTCGTTATAGCCGAGTTCGACTGTATTGTTCATCAATTAAATCGCTTTTAACTATGCCGATTTAAAATGTTGACAATTGGTGCTTTGAACAAGTGCTATTATATTGGTAAATATTGAACGGTACACTTTAACTGCAAGATTAGAATGTATATCTCAAATGCACTGGGAATGATGGTTTGAAATGAAACACAGGTTATCACATAAGTAATGTACGTCTTATTTGTCTTTCACATGAAACTTTCTGGGGGTACAGAGATGGGAAGGGATCCAACCACTCCATTCCATTCCGCTTCGAGGAGGAAAATCTCACCATTGGAGAGAGAAAGAGGAGAGAGAGAAAAGGGTAAGCTTGTGTACATAATTTTAGTACACAGAGACTCAAAAACGCAAGGATCACTTTGACCTATCACATCAGGACCTCTCCTGCATGGCAGTATCTTCCATTGGCCAGTAGACTTTTATTCTAAGACCAAATTGAAGAGTGCGAGACTGAGGGGAAAAGAGAGACAACAGGACCGATCCTGGGATTTCACAATGCCGAGACAGCTCGCTGACGGGGACCAGAATGTGGGTCGTAGTTCACCAGTCGTCTTCCTACCAGATACCTGCTCGAAAGAATCACATACAATTTAAATAAATCGACAATGTCAAGATAATGACTTATGAAAAGTCTAAGCCAAAAAGGAACACCTGAAAGGTGGAGTCACTGCAGCAACAGATGCCAGATAAAAAAAAAACAAGTAAAGAGAAAGTAGTACAGTATATCCATGAATTGGTATCGGCTTCATGTAATTAAAATAAATTATATTGCAGAAGCAGCCAGTTTGACTTTTTTCATGGAGGGAAAAAACTGGGGACTTTTTTCTCCTCTTGCTTAAATGTGATAATTATGGTACCATCTTGGTCTCTTGAAGTCAGTTTTGAAATATGCCAAGTGAGAGTACCGCTGGTACATACCCTAATAATTTCCTTCTTAAGGTTATCAGTTGTATGGAGATTGTTGAAATAATCTGCACCCTTTAAAAATCCCCACAAGAAAAAATCGATCCGCCATGTTACATCTCCAGGGAATCGAAAGTTATACCCAGTTAAACATGTTCCCTATCATCTCGCTGAGTGACAACTCGCCGACTACAATTTGTCGAATGTTCATTTCATCAAATGACAATTCGCCGATTGACAACTCACCGACTACTCAACTCATCGAATTTTCAAATCGTCTAATGACGATTCTCTAACTCACAATTCACTGATTGTGTGGCTCGAATGCTACTTCGCCAGATTTGAAAATTTGACTGCTGGATGTGGGCAGCCATGATGCGGAAAGTGTATATGAAGCCGAGCTAAAACATAAACATCGAGTAGCTAAAAGCTCGCATTCTATCTAGAGGCACGGGCCAACACCACAATTCGCCGAGAAGGCAACTGACGAGTTCCAGCAGTGGCTGCAAGCAGTGAAGGACGAAAATGGAAGCCCCATCGAACATTTGCTTGAGTAATAAAGGTACGTCTGTCTTTACCTGTTTAATTTTAATCTCATTCAGATTTTGCATGAGATTTTAATCACAGGCCACAAAAGTCAGGCAGACATACTAAAGATCCTCAATAATGATACCAATAAAAATGATTTCCTAATTAATTTCATGATTTACAATAAAAGTGAACAGTACTTTTGGATAAGTGTTTGCAAAGTTGAACGTGTCATTAGTAGGGTCCTCCAATTTTTGATGAATAGGTCATGATTTGGTATTATAGGAAACGAGGTCTCCCCCCTCAGAGGTTCCAGGGGAAGCCTTTCCTTCTTTGAGGGTCGTTCAGAACTGATCCAACAAAAACCGCTTGGGAGAGGAAATTTTATTATTACCCTTGGTCAGGTCGGGTCCTTGTGGTAACCAATGAAAAAAACTTTGAAAGTGCTTGAGCCCTTTTGAAGGAAGACACACACATCACATGCGGCCAAATTCAGCGCGCTTGGGGGAAGGAACAATTAATACCATCTTGCATATCCAATTCTGCGCTTGTTGGGTACTACATAAACTGACTGCTGCTCAAAAGCAGACCCCAAAGGGAATTTCTCAGTCAACATAACCGGTTCATAAAAATAACCACAATGGTTTCCTTGTGCACTTCCCTATACACCAATGCCATTCTTTTTCCATTCTCAAAGCTTCGTCATTTAAATTCTTGCATTTATGTTATATGGAATATAGAAATTATAGAACATAAGGCAGGAGTGTCAAACTCAAACCGGTCGGCGGGCCGCATTCCTTATCCTGCAGATGCCTGCAGGCCGTACCCATACTTTTTCACCAAAAGTTGTGTTAACAGTCAATCCAAGCAGAAATTTCAAGAACAGACAGATGAACCATCTCCGCGGGACGTATGTTTGACACCCCTGACAAGGAATTTGCTTACTGCTAAAAAAAAAAAACTGTTAAAAAAACATGGTACTCAAAGGTTAGGATGCAACATGATTTTTCAACCCTTTGAGGAGTATATATATACATGCCAGAATAAATGGTCCTCCCAGAGTACACATGTATTTTCAAAATTTTCATGTCAACCCCTGGCTAAATACGAAAAAGCGAAATTGTTGAATATCAAGGCAAATATTAATGTAAAAAATGACTTTCAATTGAAAATCATCGGTCCTAACCTAAAATGATAACCTAAAATGAAATAAAAAGTTATATGTTCTCTGTAATTTTATTTTCCACCATCTTTGCTTCCTAACTCACTCCCACAGAGTGATGCCTCTCCACCTCATGTTACTCCTCAAAAGGTTAGACATACGATAAGAAAGAATATCATGTAATGCCTGACCTTTCATTCTTGATGTGTTCCACAAGGCGTGAGAACTGCTTGAATTGGTGGCTTATGACAAGGATGCTGAGAATCATACTCAGGGTGAAGGGGTAGATGCGGCGGGATATAGCATGGAGCAGAGACACATTTGTCACAAAGCAGGGGATGATAGAACGGGCAAGGGCATATGGAGCTGCAAGAGCCAAGCCCTGGCCTGCAATGACTGGCACAGCCAGGTCCCACACAATGAGACCCAAGTTGAGATTCCAGATCCCATCTTGATACACCTGCTCCAGGACTGTCTTCATCCTCCAGTTGGGGCACATCATTGTCACAGCAATACTAATCTTTGTGTACAGGATTCCCATTGCCCACATCTGTTTGTTTGGATTCCAAATACATAAAGTTGGACCATTATTGATTGCTTGTGAGCACATAACTGATGTGGTGATATGTAATTACTGATGAAAATGATAAGACTAGAACTAGAACTAGAAGTGAACTAGAAGACAGCTAAAAGTGGCTAAAGGCCAGGAAGTCACCAGGACCACTGCATTCTGCCATTTAAAAAAATTGAATATCCTTCTTAGTGAAGTTAGTGAGGAGAAAGGGATGCTTAGGTCACTTTTGAAAAAATGCAACATTGAGGGTGGTGCAATACTTTACTCTTGATGGAAATAGTGATGGTACTCATAGCTTGGTGTGTCATACCATGCATTTCAGTTGTGAGACTGGTTGAACTAATTGATTGTTGACAGAGGCACTGACAGAAGGACTTAAGCTGGGGCATTAGGTAATGCCTTAACTGTTTAGATCTACAGCCATAGCACCTGACATAACAACTCTAGATAGGGTTTGCTCAATCAGACTTGTTCCCTCAGGTGATGCAGGCTGCCTGACAATTTTCTAGGATGGGATCTTTAGGAGTCTTTTCTCTTTTTAACTTTCTTAACCTTTACCCCATACCTGCATGCTATTTACCTTCAGATTTTGGCCTCTCTGTTCTGTGCTTCTGGGTTCAGAAACTGGGCATTTTCTGTTGCCAGCCAGAATCAGCACCACAAAGTAACTTTATATACATTGAAAACTCGTTAACTTAAACTTTTAGGGACAGGGCAAAATGTTTCGAGTTATCCAGTTGACAGAGTGAATGTTGGAGGCTTTTTCATAGCCAAAGCTTTTCGGTTTTAATCCTCAGATCTGTGTGGGAGGAGGAAGAAGCAGGAAAAAAAAATAAAATAAACAAAAGAGCATCCTCCCGAATGGGTTTCTTGCCATTCATTCTATTAAAAAATCTAAAAGTCCCACAAGAATAATTTTTCCCCCCTTCTCACCCTGAATTTGAGTTAACTGTGAGAAAATTGTTATAGGGAGTGAAAATTTCATTCGAGATATCCAGAAATCGAGATAAGTGAATTTTAATTAAATGGAGCTTTTAACATGGTGTCCTATGAGATTCCACCAGGACCAAGCATTGAACTTGGAGATAAGTGGAATAAGTGAATAAGTGGACTTATCAGGATTCGAGTTAACGAGTTTTCACTGTATATACTTATATTTATATATATATAATATCATATCATATCTCAGAACATCCTAGAAAAGGATCAAAAGATGTTTTGGGATATGATTGTTTTCTGTCCTCTTCTAGGCTAGAGGTCAGGCATATCCTGCCTGTTGCCCATTCTTCTCTTCTTGAATTTTAAGAGCCTTCCATTTAGGAGTCAAGTACTTTCATTAACCAGCTTTGGGATCACATCTCTCTATTCTCTAATACTGTAGTTATAAAGTCTGTGGTTGTCATGCTTCTTGCATGAAGCTTCATAACTTAGGGCAATGTTAGTAGAAAAGCACTTTCTTGCACCATTTTTGCATTTTTGCATAGAAGATAACAGTGATATCCCTCCCAGCCAAAGCCATCCCATGGTCAGGCATTTCCTGCCTGTTACCATGGATTGGCTTTGGCTGGAAGAGACATCACAGCTATCTTCTATTCAATCTATAGGCATGCCTTGAATGAATGCAGTTTCATTGCCCATTTGGGTAATTGCTATTTGGCCAACTACTTTTTATATCTAAAGCTCAGAAAAAATCAGACTTTGGAGGTACATGTCCTGGGGCACCCATTTTGGGGGTAGATGTTTTCAAAGATATATATTTGCTTCAGTCAAACAGAGAGACATGGAAAGCTGAAACTTGGCATAGACAAGAGACGAGACAATGAATTCAGAAAAAAACAAAATTTCAAATGCATGCCTTGGGGGCACATTTTTGGGGGTTGACGTTTCCAAGAAATTTTTTGTTGTCCTAGCAAATCAGGCAGAAATAGAAAGGTGAAACTTGGCTCATGCACAACTGGGGTGATGGTGAATTTAGAAAAAATTCAACTTTTTGTGGTGCATACCTTTAGGGCAGAGCTTTTGGCTTGGTTGACTTTTCCAAATATTTTTTTGCACCAGCAAAAAGAGGAAAGGATAAGGCTGAAAATTGGTAGGCACGTGGTTTTCCAAGTACTAATTTCAGTAAAAAAATATTAATTTTACCCCTGAGGGCACTTTTTTTTGCAAAAGGCAAATTTTCCAAAATCTTCTTTGATCCAATGAAAGAGAGAACTGAAGTAAGTTCAAACCTGAAGCAGAAGTTCCTGTTTGATTGCTGAGTGCAAATCCGACTTTTCAAATAAGTCCCGTCAGGCCAGATTATAAAGAGATTTGAAGTTAGGCACACAAGAAATAATCGGAGTAATTATTCAATAAAAAATATTCCCCCCTCATGGCACATATTCCAACAGGTTCATAATTTTCATGTTTTTGCCACTCCAAATAAAAATTCATGTATCTCTAGCCTGGAAAATGAGCGCCAAAGGAACAACCATAGTGAGTTTGTTTGCCCAAAGGGTAAAAAAAACTCGCTAGTAAATGTATATTTATACTCACCCCCCAGAAGGAAAAGATAGGAGTCTGATGAAGGGAGACTCGAAGAGGGACGACCAAGACCAGTTCAAGCAGGAGTCCATACAGGTATGGGATGACCCCCAAGAGGAGGCTGGATGCTCCCAAGCATTTTAAGCCCTATAAAATTAAAATAAAAGATATCTGCAACATTATTGAACTCTTCATAGAACTTAAAATTCTGGTGCTCTGCCATGATACATTTGGTAACTGGTAAAGGTAACTGCCACTTTTCTTCCTAATAAAAAATACAAGTCAGAATGAATAGGGAAAGCAGAGCTTTCTCACTAAAATGAAAGAAAAACCAACATATTCCATAGAATTTTTTAAATTATAATTCTACCTTCTCCTTAGCCAGTGATACTAAACTTCACCCAGTCAGATTTTGCCAGATGTCCAGTATTACTGGCATTCTTTATTCCTGATGGAATCTGATAACTGATACAATTGCAAGTAATCCATTCCTGATTCTTATCAGCATCTCACTAATTCTTCCATTTCTGAAATATTTGAGATAGTTTTAAAAGTTTAAATGACAATTGTTTGTCATGTTGATTATTCAACTTAAGGGTCATTTCAAGCCTATCAGTTTGGGCATGAAGAAGTTGAAGTAATGCCAAGTCTTTTGCCAAGGATTTAGGATTTAAGCTAGAGGTACTATTTCAATTAACTCAACAGCATGAGTAAGGAGTAATTTTTCCAGCAAGTCATTCATTTTTTCATGGAATTCATCTTTATGGGGCATTTGTTAGGTTGCAACACTGTCAGCCTGATTTTATGCAAATGATGTGCTTCGTACAATCAGTGTGGTGTGCTTGAGCTTAGAGGAAAATTCGTTCCAACCAAGGGGGAACCAGGTATGCAGGAAAGAGAAGCCATGGACAGCCAGCCAACAGAGGTAGAGACCGATGAAGAAAGTGAACAGCTCATGGATTCGGGATCCTCCAAACCAAGGTTGTGCCACTTGTCTCCCTAGCATCACTGCATAATAATGGCAACATATAAAAAGTTCCAAAATACAAATTCATCAACAGTTAAAATGATAAGGAAAATTCAGTGCACACCAGGGACAGTCATGAGGAAAAGGCTGGCCAAGGTGAAGGAGCAAAAAGTTAGCACCACGAGGATCACCACCTGGGAAGGAGACAAAGCACTCTTTCAACTATTTCAGAAAAAGTTATAACCTTTGAACTGGATATGATTCTCATCATTTGTCTGAGGATAGAGTGAGAGAGAACAGAGGGCTATATATTCACATTTCTGCAATGATCATGCTATTTCTATTTCCCACACTGTTTCTAAGCCTATGGGAGGGGGGCTACTTGAATGTCTTGCAATCGCCATCTTCTAGTCTCATTTTCATTATGAATACTAGAGATGCAACGATATTTTATCGGTTATTGGTATCGGCCGATATTAGGTGAATCCGATATATCGGCCTAAAATGATATATGACCTGCCGATAACTGATATTGAAATTACACCTGAAGTATGCCAAAACGCTAAGTATGTAAAGCGAATGATGAATATTCTCACCTTTTCCCATTAGACAACATTTCACTTGACTCGAACACACATTCATGGGACGTTCCTCATGCACGAGTGTCAAAGTCAAGTGAAAAAATGTCCAACTAAAGTGAAAGCACTGCGGAAGGTTGAAAATGCCAAAAATGACATGTTTTCATTAAAAGAAAGAAGTATTAGGCTGCTGAAAATGTAAGCATTTTTCCCCTCTGGATTGGGATTCCCCTGGGATTCAACCTTCACTGCCGCAGTTCCTCAACGTCCCACATCTAGAGATGGGAGCGCTCCGTGCTTGGGTACTCCCTTCCCAAGCACGCTGGTGCTTCAACTAGGAAATATACACTTGACTCGGCTAGGTTCGAGCCCTGTCCCGTCACGGGACATAAGCTCATTACCCAGTCACCCAAGAGAGAGATGAGAAGCGTCACCTACTTAACTCGGCCTAATGCCACTACCATAGCCTACTCCATACTTTCTGCAAAAATAGACATCGCTTGTGTTAGCGTGAAGAACCCAGGCCTACATGGATCCCAAAACCTCGGTACAAAAATCATTAGACTATAGTCTGATTTCAACGCTTTTGTGCCCAGAGGTTCCATTTGGAACCACCGATTTTCAAGAATTTTATCATCTTTATATTCATGTTAGGACCGTGCCGATGGCCACATTTGACCAGTAGACTGATTTGTGGCGCATTTTGAACTCATACCCATTGACCGGTGCCGGATGGATACTCTATAGATTGCGAAAGTAATATGAATGAGTAAGATAAGTAAGATGAAGTGATACTAATCAATGAGTCTCCTGAAAATGATAGAGACCACTTTTAGACCTTTCCAGCCTGTCTGTCTGCATCCGTCATAGTGCTGATATGAGGGCTTAACTGCACTACTCGCTAATGCACAGCATAAAAGGAGATGCAATTATTTCACAGTCTTTACGGCTATTTTCCTCCACCAGTTCCTACAATCGGGCTGAAATACAGTAAGTCCTCGATTTACGTCGTGGATGCGTTCCTGGAAAACACTATGTCAAATGAAACCCATTTTCCCATGGACTAAATTATATACAGGAAGTCCTCGATTTACGATGTCATATCGGAACAACACAACGTATATGGGGTATATTTTAGCGATGTTATATCGAAACGATGTAAATCGAGGACTCCTCGCATAATCTGATCAATACTTTTTTCTGGGAGAGGACGGCAGGGAAGGCTTTCAGCGAGACAGGCAACAAACCGCGCAACAAAAACTCACGTAGTTATTTTTTTTTTGCATTTTGCCCTCTTTCAGGCTTCGGCATCGACAGCTTCCAACCTTACCGTAGCCATGGCATCAATGGTGCAACACCAGAGGCAAATCTCTGTGGTTGTCAATACGTCGGTGCAGCCCTAATTTATCAAAAATATTAATAATGTCATAATTTATATTTTAATATTTATAGTATAATGCATTACATAAATATATTTGTAGATAAAAACTTCTGTAATTAATAAATATGATTGATTGCCTTAGAAATTTTCCTGAAAAGCAGTTATGTTCACATTTCATCTTCATGACAAATTACCTGATGTGTCAACAATTTGTCAGTCATGTCTGTCTGGGTGTCCATTAGAGGTATGAAGGAGGGAACTTTGACATTCTTGACATTTTCTGAACTGAGTGCTACTTTGAAAAAAAAAAAAAGAATTGCTATTCCACCTTATTTCTCAAGCTTTCCCCATCAGACCTGGTCCCAAATAAAACTTAAAAGTGGAGGGGTTAATGCCTGAGAGTGGATTTTTGAACAGAGAACAATCTGATAATGCAGCTTTATTCTGGGGAAAACACATATTTCCTGGAAATAAAGCAACGCTATCAGATAGTTCACTGTTCAAAATCTACCCTGAATGTGCAAATATAATTGTATATATAGATATCAGTATCGGTTATCGGTATTGGTATCGGTTCTTTTCCAATATCGGAATTATCAGTATATCGGATATCAGCCAAAATTCAATATCGTTGCATCTCTAATAAATACCCTCAATGTTTCTATGTGGCCTTGCAACATAAGGCAGAGAAAGACACAAGTGAGAATTAGAATTTGTGCAAGTTGGATGGGAGGGGAGGCTTACCCTAAGTGGGAAGCATGAGGGTCTAAAGTAGACAACACCTTCCTGATGAACCTCAATGACTCCTTCACCATGTCCCTCTCCTTCCACCACAACATTGTTCTGTCTTCCTGCTCGCCCTGGCCTCCTCCCCTGCCAAGCATACAAACAATCTGTATCATAGAGGCACATGGTCCTAATACATATTTTCCTAGAAAGTTATAAACCTATTTTCATCTGCTAGATGAGAAGCAGGAAGAAGACTTGCACTTCGTCACAAAGGAAGTCATTATGGCATAAGATGGAGGATGGGACATTGCTGTGTAACAATAACAAAGGGAGACTCTTTCCAGTATAAAAAACAAGGTGACTTTGGGATATGAAGTTTCACTTCATGAAAACTTAACTTTATTCAACTGTAATCTGGCCATAGTCAGACATCCTATGATGAGACTATTGGACCAGATTAGTATGGTATTAGAGATCAGGTACAGGTCTTACAATCAAGTGAAGAGAATGAGAAAATCTTTGAGACGATTCAGGATTTCTAAAATCTATGGGTAAAAAAATCTGTCAGAATATTCCTGAAGAAAAAAAGCAGCTTTTTTCCACTGGGTTTTTGGCAGATTTTATTGGAAAAATCTAAAAATAAATGAAAAAAAAAATCAAGAGGAATACCTCAAGGGTATCATGATACCATCAGAAGTCTGTGATAGACAACATAGGAGGCATTACTTAATTGATATCCCTAAAGCTTAAAAAACTCTAATTTCATGCTGTGATTCATGTTTGAGAATTTTCTCAAGTTTGAGAATAGCCTCAAGTCTCATAATTAAACATGAATTCACTTCCTATGTCAATTATGAACAGAGTTGACCTTATCACTGATGAATTATAGTAAGAGAAAGCACAATGATGGGCTTCCCTCATTCATCTTGATTTCCTCCAGCTAAACAGAGGAAGAGTGACTGCCTTCAAATAGATTTTCACCTGACCTCTAGATGTATGAATTTTCCCAAAGTTTGAATACATCCTTTTGTTCCAAGATAGCTAGCAGGTGTGCAGAACTAATGTAAGATCCATAAAAGAACAGTTTGCTTTTCATCACCCTCCAATGAAGATTCAGGAGCTACTGTAATTTGGGACCAAATGTTGGGTAGAAGAAAGATAGCAAGCTACTTTCTTTCCTGTTGGATATATGAAACTATGAAGCCATAACTGCCATTTGCTACCTTGCAACAGTCAGCTTTACCATTGAAAGAAACTTTTGGGACTATGAGGAACATCATTTGGCCACAGTGGCACTGTGCCCCTGTGGCCAAAGCCAATTGAGTCCTTGGCTTGTTCAAATACAGCATGGGTAACATCCCCCAGGAAACCTGGGCAGCAGCATATGTAGTCATCTACTTAGGAGTCTGCGGCTGAAGTTTAGAACTCCTTAAAAGAGTACGACTAGGAACAGGTAAAGAATTTACAAAAGTGAACTGCATCCTTTCAGCCCAATGACTGCAACTGGGATGCTGAATCCAACACTATTGAGTAGGTACTATACTGGAAGACCCTGGACAGCAGGTGGTTATATGCCAGATTGGTTCTCTTTCATAAAATCATGCATGGCACATCACTACTTGATGCTATGAGACATTTGATTGCAAATCAAAATCAATGAAGAAAGATGCAAGGCATGCAGAGCTTTTTCTCCAAATTCACACATGAATTTTTCCTTAAAGAACAGTATTTCCTGAGGACAGAGGTGGATAGGGATGCTCTTCCATTTATATATAATATGGGTAAGTGGATTTTTTAAAACTGACCAGTGACACCCAACCTCAGAGTTTTGGTTAAAAAATTGCAAAAAAACCATAAAATCCTACATCAAAAGGAACTATTTATAGTCAGGTGGGTTGTGTGGTACTTGAGTTATCTCAACCTTGAGCTTAGCGCCAAAGCTGCATCCGGCCTCGTGAAAAAAGAGTGCACACTGAAATTGTCACAGGCTGGTTTTTAAATATCCACTTACCCATATTATTCCTTAACACAGTGAATCCTTTCTGATTTCAAATCACCATCCCCACAGCCAGCTGCTGCAATTTATTGATTGTACTACAATTTATTTATAGCTGTGTTCTTCAAAATGTTCATAGTTTGGTGTGTTTCAAGAAAGATCAAACCCTTTAACAAAGACAACTTGAAGGTAAGGTTAGAAAATGTCTTCACTGTTTTCTCAATATGTTTAGATGAATTTAGATCAATTGGTGAGAATATAATAGTGTTTTAACAATCTTTTATTTTTAAATCAGAGATATATCCTAAGTAGTCTTAAAACAAGTTTCCCATTTTTGCCAGTTTTTTCAACACACACCATTTTGAAACAGGATTTGTAGTTTTTCCTATATACGTTGCAGGTTGTACAGTACTTGAATGACAATGATTGGGAATGGTGCTTCTGTCAAAAATGTATTGAAATTGTGGAGAATTATCAAACAGTGAACAACAATTTGTTCATATCAGAAAAAGCTTATTTCACTTTGGATGGATATGTAAGCAAGCTGAACTGTTGATACTGGATAATGAAGACCCTTTCAATCACCATCAGAAGAAATTGCATCCAGGTAAAGTCATTGTATGGGTGGCAGGATCGTCTGAAATCATAATTGGACCTCACTTTTTTTTAAGAAGCTTGCCAGACTATGACTGTGAGCTGCTATCTGGAAATATTACACAATTTTTTTCTGCCAGAATTCCAATGTTGCAGAATTACACATCAAAATGTGTTTTTCATGCAAGATGGAGCTACTAGCCACACAGCCTGTATCTGCCTGAACTTCCTTCAGCAACACTTCCCAGGAAAAATGATCTCACAATTTGGTAATGTGGACTGGCCCCCAAGGTCACCAGACTTCTTCCTTTGGGGGTACTTAAAGTCTAAAGTGCCCTCTGAAAGACCATGCAATGAAGAACAATTAAAGCTCTGGATTGGAGAGGAAATCCAAGTAGTAAAGAATGACACTTTATGTGCAACAATGAAAAATGTTTTGGTCATGCATCAATGCTCATGGAGAAAATTTGGAAAACATGATTTTTAAAAAGTGAACATGTGAAAATAAAAAATATTTATTTTCTCACAAATCTCCAATGCCTATGGTATCTAAAACCACTTGCATTTCCTATTACAGTTGACAAAAATTTTGCATTGCAATAAAATGTGACAGTCTCATCTGACACACCCTGTATTCACCTGACTTGGCCCAGTTTTCCTAGTTTCCAAGTCTGGGAGCCTGACTGAGCAGTAGAAAGAAGAGATATACCTGAGGATGCTGCCTGGTAGGATTCGCATTGGTGGGATCCCCAAGGAGATAGGAGTGGATGCCAAGGATCCATGCAAGGCATGTGGCCCACATCCTGACCAGGGATCGACTCCATGAGCGAATGTGGCTCTGCTCCAGCAGTGCAGGCAAGATCACTTGCAGGAACATAAGCTCTAGCAGGGAATCCCCACTCACGCTCACCCAGTCATTGCTGCATCAACAACCATTCATGTTCAAGAGTTCAATATGGGATCCAGATCAGCACTATGAGGTCAAGGTGTAATGATTTGGAAAGCAGACATAAAAATCCAATGATGCAACATGTTTGTTCTCACAATAAAAAACAGATTCAACTGATATTGGGTCATTGTTGGATATTGGGGAGGAGACTTTCCCAGAATTAGCTGCCATTTACAAAATTTGTAAGATTTTATCCTTGTAAAGTAGAGAAGGGGAAAGCATGATTCTCTCCAGGCTAGATAGACTAGATCCTGAGCTCATGAGAAGACCCTTACGCCTTCATCAGATCAGATGGAGTCAGCTTCTTTGAAATTTAAAATTAATTTCATAATAGGAATGTAACAGTGTGTGAATGTGTCTTTCAATACTGGTTTATCAGAAAATTTTAAATTTGGAAGAATTCAATTTCATTGCATTTATTATTCTTATGGTAAAATTCCAGTATTATTGGGGCATTTCAACACAAGGGAAGGAATGAAAGTTAGAATTTGATGAATGGGGAAATATGCTGCCATCCTTCCAAACACACTGTCATTTTTTAACATCTCAAAGATGTAAAAAAAAAAAAAAAAGACACACATTTTAAACTGACTGTCTCATGAATTTCCTTTGACTTCCACAGTAAAAGCGGGTCTGCATTTGAAGGCAAAAAGTAAGCCTATTGTAATTCAGAAAAGAGTTCAAAAAATGCCAGATGGAATCCACAGACCTCTGAGGATTGACAGCATATGGAAGGAAAGAGGGACAAATAGACTTGATGATCTGTGATGGACACCAGAAGAGAAAAAATATGATGGTGCCAAATATCACTATGCTCGCCATGTATCGCCGCACATGTGAGAGAACCGAGAGGTGAATCATCTGCAGAGAGAAGGATCCATGAACAAAAATAATGGCAACTTGAAGAAGATCCACTTGTGGGTTAACTCACTTCCTGGATGGGGTTGAAGTCAGGGTCATTGAGGTTGCGCACAAACCAGAGGACACCAGGACGAAGGACTTCTCGTAAGACCAGGATGAAGCTGGCCATGTAGAACACAAATACAATCCCAGCCATCCAGTGAAAGAACATCACTGTGAATGGAGCCATCTGGAATTGCTCCATTCTCCACTGAAAGTGAGAATATCATGAATAATAATGAGATGAGGTGCATAAGGACAAGAGGTGCAGTAATATTTAAGGACTAGAGATGCATTGATATTTCATCAGTTATTGGTTATCTGCCTGTATCAGGAAATTCCAATATATTGTGTCAATACTACATGAGAGCCACTAATTTCCAGATTAGATGACTGGGAATCAGGCTCAGTAGGGGCAAGAATCATGCAGGAAGATGGTACCAGTGTTCAAAGCCATAACTATCAAGACCTTCTTCCTTTTCTCTCCTCTCTTTTTCTTCTTTGATTACCCAGTGATTCCATCAACAGGGGAACCCATCAAATTAGCAGAGTGGTGACTTAAAAATGTGATGACCCTATAATGTGGAAATGTGTGAAGAGATGTGAAGAAAATCTCATGATGGTTGATAAAAAGGTTGGGTCATTAACCCTGCACTCTTAAGATTTTTCATTCAACCATCCAACAAAACTTACTTTCTTATCACCTGAATCCCACTCATTTTTGCAACTTGGTTCTTTTGCTGGTAGAAGTTGCACCTGTGCATGCTCTTAATCTTTTTCCCCCTCCTCAGTAATAGACAAAATCCTCAGATATATGGACTATCATTCTTTTCATTACTGCAAATTCACATACTCCAAACACAATATCATCCTCTAAGCAATAAATCAATTACATAGATCTAAAGAAAGCATACCATGTGAAGCTAAATCTCCAGCAAGAGAGAATTAAAATAAAGGGTCATTGGTTCATTGACCTCTAAAGCAGTGGTGCCCAACCCGTGGCCCACGGGGGAAAAAGTGGTCTATGAGGTGCTTATCCCGCAAAGTCCTAACATATGATAAATACCCTCAGATTTCCTCGAAATAGTCTCCTACAATAATAGTGACTGCATATGGCCTGTGATGGCTGTGGGAGTGAGCCATGTGGCCCCCAAGCCAAACAGGCAGGGCACCACTGCTTTACAGCATTGGTTCCAAACTTTTTTTATTATCTGAAGTACACTTTAGGACAGAAATTTCCCATGGAACATGTAGCCTTGGATGGGGTACTGAAGGGATTACAGGGGTTAAGTTACAGGGGTCAGGTCAGCTAAAAATAGACCCTGGTGTGAGGAAGAATGAAGTCTCCACATCCACACCAACACAAGTTGATATATTTTTCTCATCAACTTGGATCTCATGGCACATCTCAGATCTCAATCAAAGCACATTAACTGGGAATCATTACTCTACAGACCTGGTGGACACATGAGTACACATGAGTAGAGTGGGAAAGGGTCAATAATTCATGTTTTGAGAGAGGAAGCCTGGTTTCTGACATGTTTGGAAAGATCAAGCAGTTCTTCAATGGCTAACACAGTGAACACAAAACGAACAGAAGCACAATGCTATCAATATCAAAGACTGCATGATCATACAGGTTAGCCACATATAGCTGGAAATTTTTTCAGGACATTAGAAGTTAACATGGAAAACTGTTTAAACTAACCCATTCCCTGAAGTCCAGATTACAGATACATCACTTAAACCATTGCAAGAATATTAAGTAGGGCAAATTTAAAACAAACATTCTAGAAAAACTCAAAGCGTTTAACTTCCTCCAAATATGATTTTAAAAAAGTTGTGAAAAGCAGAGAATTATCAAATTATCATTGGTGGGTGGGTGGGTGGAAAAGCACACCAGAAGAAAGACTCAATGTCAAAGATAAAAACAACCTTGCAGGAGCAAGGAGAGGGGAAAGTACCTTGAGGGTGGCATCAAGGAGTGGAAGGGAGCAGAGGTCAATCCACCAACCACAGAGGAGGGGGAAGAGCCCTACTTCAGCCATGCACAGGAGGGACACCTTCATCACTACGTAAGTCAGTCCCAGCATCTTCTGCCCTCTACAACAGACAGCAATTCCTATTATATCAAAATCTCAAATGATTAGGTTAGACAGACCATAGTATAAAAATTAAGAATATAAAAATGCTCACAAGTTACAAAAAAGGTCTGCATAAGGATACATGAGGAGGAAAGAAACCATATGCATTAGCATAATGTCTTCAAGGATATGAAAGATATAAAGGGTACAAGAACATAATAATGCTGATGAAATTTCAAGATGTTTCAGATTCTTCATGATGGAATAGGAGGAAAAAAAATATATTTCAAGGATACATACCCATGAAAGTCCATTTTGGTCAATGCATTTGGTTCCTCTCCTCATTTTTTATTTTGCAGACTTTTAAAACATAAATTACTTATCAGTCACACCAGAGTGGAAGGTGGAAATATGTGATATCAACAAGAGAGTTTCCACATGAAAAAATGGTCTACTTCATATTTAAAAATGATATGATGCCCATAGCCAATTTATGGACACCCTATATATTTGGCAATTAAGGGATTTATCCATTCAGTAGACTTAGAAAGGAAATATATTCAGAGTGACACCCAATTGAAATTGCTTTTCCTTTCTATGGTGAGGCATAAACATAAGTGTGAAAGGTCTGATTCTCTCCTATTCTGAGCTAGTTTTGACAAGAAAAAAAAGCACCTTTTCAGCTTTGCAACACTATGTGAAATATATTAATAAAATACTTTTAGTTCTCATGAACAGGCTCACCTATCAAAATGGAATACTCCAGCAAAAGCCTTGAGGAGGACAGTGCATAGCCCAATGACGATGTACCCACACAGGGTTGTGACCAGTCCTTCAAAATGTGTCAGTCTGGCAAGGTGATCAAATCGGAAACCAACCAATGTGAAATGTCCCACATGATATGGACAGAATGCTGTAAAGGAAAAAAATGTATATGCCAATCATGCAATATGAGTATGCTATGCTGGAGAGGCTAATAAAAAAACAGTTATGTTCTTGAGTTTCTCAGTTATTAGCCAACACTGCACCTGTTGTCATAACATTTCCTGCATTTCATGTACAACACAATTTCACTTGGATAAATTGAACAATGCAAGTCTGAATGCTACATCAAGCATCTCAAGCACAACTTCATTCCAAACAACTTGCCTACTACCATTTCAACCTCACTGGTTCTTTTCATAATGATTGAGTTCAGGGCCTCTACCACTTGCATTTGTATCAAGATCTTTGATGGGCATGTGAAAAAATGCTTTAAAACTAAAAAATTGGTACTCACCATCCTGACAGTTTGAATAGTGTCATGCATTTCACCTTTTGGATCAAAATAATTTTTTCCCTTTACTTTCTAATGGTAGGGAGTTCCTGTCTGGGAGCCTGATAGTCTAATAGACCAAGACGCTGCTAAATTCTCTTCTCTTTCCTCTTCTGTCATGGACTGTTTCTCTCATGAACACCATCATGTTCCAGAGCAGAAAAAAAGTCTGTATAAAACTACTGATCAATTTCCACATGTTGACAAGCAGCTTAAGGGAAAGGAATAAATGATATGGGCATTAGAGTCCAAAAGAAAATGACTCATTCTAATCAGAACAGGGCACATATTTTCAAGGCCATCTAGGAATGGTATGTTTTGAGTTGATATACATGGAATTGAGGGAACTCAGTTTCACACACAAAAAACCTGTGCATTATTAATGCTTATTAATTGAAACTGTAGAATGTTCTGACAAATTTTAATCAAATCAGCAATGCACCAATATTCGATGCAGGCATGCTAATAAGGACCTCTGTCATAAACCAGCTAAATAGTGGGCTAAAGCAGTGGTCAATGATATCAAAACAAGAAAGCAATCAGTTATTCAGCAATGGGTTCTGAGGTATTGGAGTAATGAAGTACATTCTTTCTTTGTGAAGAATATGCCAATCATGTGCCTTTACTATAGAAAACACATTTTCCTCTGGCCAATTACCCCAAGGTTTTGAGGAATTCCAGCAAAATCATTGCCAGAAATGTGGAAATGTATGTAGATAACTGTATGAAAATAGGTAAATGTGCATTTAAAACAATGCTATTTAAAGTATTTGGCTATGAGTGTATTTTATGCCCATTCATGTGGATGAGTATTATGCAACTAAAAATCACAGGCAAACCTCAATCACTCTCAGTTCTGCTCTATCTTTATCTTGCTACTTCTCACAAAGTAATGGGTTTTTAACGATCTTTCATCCTCAGATCTGAACTGACCAGACTGATACAATGGGATTCCTTTTTGGTTGATAGACATGTGTGACAGAAGGATATTGCATTATTCATGAAAGCCAGAATTCTATGAACTTTCATAGTTACTTTGTAGGAGTAGGGATTATGAAGTGCTACGTCAAAGTCAAAGACTATTGCCTGCTACCATGTATTTCTTTTAGCCATGATCTCAGAGGATTGAAACACAATAGGTGTAAGATAATAGAACACAGACCAAAGACAAGGATGAAGAATGTGTTGAGAGAGACGACCCAGAAGACATGCTCCAAAAAGACAAGAGAGCCATCCAGTCCAAGGAGCCGCTCCCAAGTCAGTTCTTCTGCAGCATGATCCCAGGCCATGAAATTCCAGTTGTTGTCTTCCATCACCCCCATTTCCCCTTGACCCTGACCTTGAACCAATCGTCTTTGTGGGGCTTGGACATGACGTTGCACCTGAATGTCTCTCACTCTCCCTTCATCTTCAGCAGGTGCCTGCATCCCCTGCCCAGCATTTACCTACAGATTTAATTGATTAATTTAAAAATATTAATCAATTCTTTGATAGCAAATAATTTTTAGTCACATCATGAAATCTTCAACAGATCAGATTCATGGATTCATTTCCTCCTCAAAGGGAATGCATATTTGGTCACTACTTCAATTTTTGTAAAACTATCACCCTCTGATCATTAGGCCCAAGTTGGGTCAATCAGACAATTTAAGCCATTTTTAGTCACTTGAAGCATATTTTGAGAATAGAGGAATGAATTAGTTTCAGAATCAACTCAGATTAGCTCATGAGATTCAGACAATCTAGGCTGGAAATGATCCCCATGTTATTTTCCTATGATTCCTGACTTTTGTTATGTGGTTCATGTCCAGTAGTAATACTCAAATGGAAAATGGATTGCCCAGCTCTTGAAACTTATTTAACCCTTTCCATACTTTGAACGTAACAGTTATGTTCAGGATATACTAAACCAGACCATGCTTACTTGTCCAAGAATACCAGGTGCTGAAGCGTTACTAAGGTAAGTGAAACTTACAGGAGTTCATTATTCCAGTTATTAAAAGATTTAAAATTTAAAATTTACTTTTACACATACTGCATGCATTCACAAACAACTAACTTTGGCCTGGAAGGAGAGTGCTATGATTTAACTCAGTACCAAAAAGGTTGAAGAATTCAGGCCTGGACTGTGGAAAAGGTACATATCAGGTTCAATTAAGTATGGAACATTTTCCTTCCAAAAGGCAACAATGAATTGTCATGTGTGGCATGATGCACCATCTTGTTGAAGGCTGAATGAATTTCTGAACACAATTCTGACCTGAGGCAGGATTTCTTCATCAAGATGTTGGTGTACTAGTACCATTCATCAATATCTTCCAAGAAATGGTTTCGAATTCATTTAAGTGCTTGACAGGTACATTATGGAGGTCTCATGCTTGCTAAAGCCCAAGATAAACAACACCACTAGGAAATATTTTCCTGCAATACAGATAAACTTTTCTTTGAGAGGGAACCATATCCACTCAGAGGATGGTTACTGAAAGTATTGATGCATTCTTTGTGCATTTGGTTGGCAGCTTTGTAAGCTACTTGGTCAGTCACTTCAGTTCCATTGATGCTTGCATTGATGCACAAGATATATGATGTCTAGAGACTAGATTTTGATGCTTGCATACATTCATAAATTTCCATTCCAAAAACATAAAAACACAAAAACTACAAATATTTTTGGATATGATTTATATTCTGGAAAGCTTTTCTATTTGATTCCTTTGCCACAAGAATTGGCAAAGGCATCCCAGCATGTAAATCCAGGTCCTAATGATGTCATCCAATAGCCAATCATTAGTTGCATGCAAAGAGAGGAAATGGAACATATTGCCAACAATATTTAGGAAGGCATTCCAGTCAGATTTATCCATCAAGAAAGAAGCAGATTCAATGCAAAAATATGTAACAGTTTTCAAGATATGAGCTCAAAACAGCTAAAATGTTACAGTTTACAAGTTGTAATTAGAAGGTGTGATAGAAATAGATGTTTCAATGCCAGTCTAACTTCAGCCAGGGAAAATTTCAAGAGAGTTCATAATGGATTTATGTGAGGAAAAAAAAAAGCAACAAGTTGTTCTGCATGCTCTAGTCTTGAGGGATTGTGCAAGGTCCTTCTTAACCCAGTAGTGCCTAGATTTCTCAGTCACAGTCTTATTCACTTTCATGCTTATTGACTTTCAGGATATCCTTTAACCCTGCAATTATCACTCTGGGTCCTATGGGGCCTGACAAAAAAATTTTAGCCACAAAAATGACATGATACCCATTCACAGATGGATCACAGGATATGAGTTAAGATGCATGCAGAGAAGGAAAAAAGAACCTGTTGGATGTTATCCTCATGCACCTCAGGAGGAGGTGGTACAGCAGGTTGCATGGCCTCATTGTCTTCAAGTCCAGGAGGTTGGGCTTGGATGGGGTTGGGTGGTGGAGGTGGTGGAGCAACAGGGACTCCCTCCTGTCCATGAAGAATTTGCTCCCTCAACCAGACCAGTCCGATGAACACACAGAGAGAGAATGTAACCACCACAAATCCATGCAGGATGTCCAGGGCCAGGTTCTCTCTGAATAAAAAAAAATTCATTTACTATGAACACCATTCCCTAGGCTAGACCTAGCCATCTGGCTTCAACATAGAGTAAGAGCTTTACAATGATTATCTTCACTTTCCCAAAGTCCAAAAAAGTCTAATGTTTATGATCATAGACTAGTGCTTCTTAACTAGAGGTCCAGAGACCCTTAGGGGTTGATAGCAACACTCTAGGAAGGTTGAAAAATCCAGAGGAAAAAATAGCAGAAAAAAATTAGGAAAGGAAAACCATTATAAAAATTAAACAACAGGGTGGTCATAAAGTCCCAATCTATTTTATTGAAAAACTCAAAATTCTTACAAAAATGCATAATGTGCACTTCACATTTTCAGTAAGGACCTAAATAAAACTGGTAATAGTAATTAAAAATCAGTTATTAACTTTTTTTTTACTGATGTTTCACATTACCACCTTCCAAATTGATACATAACTGCAATCATTCTGTTGTTTCCCTGAACATTCAGGATATTCAGCATGTCAGGGGTTACAGTGTTAACAGCAGCATAGATATGATCACTTAACTCTTCAACATTGAGAACTGTGCTGTAAACATTTGACTTAATGTACCCCTTGCAAAAAAATCCAAGGGGGTTATGTCAGGTTCTCCTGAAGCCAACATTCTGTTTGATCCTCAGCCAATCCAATGGTTTAGGAACTTCTCATTAGATAATCTCGCACAATGTTCACAAAATGAAATTTGGGCTTCAAAATCCCCTTTGACTATGTTGTACGGAGGTACATTAAGTCAAAGGTTTACAGCAGAAAGGTTCTCAAAGTTGAAGATTTAAGAGATTGTATCTATGCTGCTGTTAACACCATAACCTTGGACGTGCTGAACATCCTGAATGTTCAGGGAAGCAACGGATTGATTTCAATTATGTATCGATTTGAAAGGTGGTCAAGTGGAACTTCAGTAATTAAAAAAAACACTAATAACTGATTTTTTTTTTACTATCACCAGTTTTATTTAGTTTTATCATCATTTTTATTTAATGTGCACTTCACATTCACAATGTGAAGTGCACATTATGCATTTTTGTAAGAATTTTGAGTTTTTCAATAAAATAGATTGGGACTTTAAGACAACCCTGTATAATACATGTACAGTACATATATGAATGAAAAATTGTGGGCTGCGAAGGAATAAAACCTATAACAATCCATCCTCATTGGAGTTCCTTGTACTTTATTCTTAGCCCTAATAGGTTCATAGTAACCAGTTTTGGTAGCTACATGGTTAGCCCATTGCAGTATAGAGGATCGGTATACTCGTCACCTGACGTGTTGGAACATGCATTTTTGTTCTAAATTTTCTCAACGCATTTTCCATTCAATACTAGTAGTCTATTCTCAATAGTTTATTGATTGTTTACAAAGCAAATTCACTAGATGTCAAAACTTACCTTGCTTCCAAAAATGGTAATTTTTGCATATTTAACCACTGGTACACCACCAAAATTTGTACTGAATGGGTTCAATGGGTATTTAATTTTTAAAAAGAAATTTTCTTGAAGAACTCTTTGCTGAAATAATGAGAAGACAGAGATAAAAATTAAGTATGGCTTGATAGCTTCATTATGTTTGTTTTACAATAAAGATAACCTTTTCTCACATGGACATAAAAAGTTTTAGGCTGTCTCAGGTCTGCTTGTCTCTGCCTATTAGTGAGAGGAGGCGCATTCTTGCCTAGGAAACCTCTTACCTATAGTAAAAGTTATCCATTGCATTTCCCTGCCTGAAAGGACAGCAAGAAATCATGGACAGGAACTTCTGTCATGAAATGAATGACTTGGAAGTTGTGATGGTTGAAGCTTTGGATTCCATTGATGATGCATGACATATTGGAGAGAGTTCATGATACATTTTGCAGGATGGAATCTGAATGCAGGGAAAACAAGGGACTAAAAGAAGACATTCTGCCTCATGATATATTTAATTGAACAGCACCAGTTGGAGTCTGTCAAGACTTTATGTTTGAACTATCAATCAAAGTGCTTGATGAGATCTCATTGCTATGACAAAAATTTTTTTCCCTGGTCTACTTTGCAATATGCAATTATGTCACCAGTCATTTCAGGGACCACATTGAAAGACAGGTAAACAAGAGGTGTAACACAAGCATTTTGGTGTTTTTCATTTAATATAATGCAGGATTTCATGAGTTACATGACACAGAAAGTATTGTTAAAAGGATTTTTGTTTCATTAGGTGCAACTCATGATTTCTCTGAAATCTACATATAAGCATATGAATCTCCATCAATGTTACTAGTCTATTTATTAGTGCATAAGATTGTGAGGGGGTTCTCCCCAGTTCTAAGTAGCTTCCAATGGTGGAAAAGGCAGAGAAAAGTTGTTATAGGCTCAAATGGGAACTCCCAGAACAAAGCTCTTCTTCAAAATTAATCTTTTTAAGTTAGATTCACAAAGCATCCAGAAAAAAGAGAACATGAAATGAAATATGGAAAAAGACATGAATGTGAAAAAGCATGTGAAAACAAAGAAAATGCATGCTTTTCCATAAAAATGACTGATGTGATGAAAAAATAAACTTCATCTATATCAAAACATTTATAATAAAAAAACTGTCCTCTTATAGTTTTTGGTATATTTTCTAGCCTTTTTTTTCCATAATCTCATTCTAATTAAAAGGAGAGCATGAGACTTACGTTGAGAGCATGTCGAGGGGCAATGTCAGGACCGAACTGACAGACCCAGTAAAGAGGCTCCTGTAGATTCGACCTGACAACAAAATCATTGCCAATCAACCCATGTTGAAACAAGTTTTTCTTTTTTGTTTACCACTTTTCAAGCAGAGGATTAAAACTAAATTGGCATGTCTTTTTCTTGAGGAAAATAACACATGCCAAGGAATTTCTCTTTCAACAACCTGTAGGTGTTAAAAAGGTGGAGAGGGATTTCAGTTCCAAAAGTCAAAAAAAGGTACTTTGTACTTGACATTCCCCAATGGGAATTACCCAGTGCCAAAAGTCAATAAGCAATTTTCATGGGAAACTTTGTTTGGAATTGAATAATTCCATAATTAAGGAGGATACAGTTTTTTGCTGATATTCTGTGGTAAAGGTGGTTAAGGCAAAAAAAAGACCAATGATTCTTAACCTGTATATCTCTACTCCCGCTGAAGCAGAGACACGAGTTAAGGTCTACCCTGGAAGACCTTGGGCTTGAATTGACCTTGCTATGATTGGAACCAAGGGAATGTGCTCTGTTGTGCTGTGCACTATTCCTCCCGTCAAATGATTATATCTCATGAGGCAATTGCGTGTTAATATCAAATTTGGTATTGTTAGAAAGGGCAGAAAATACACTAGGAAACAAGTATCAAAATCAGGAGTTCCAACAATGTCTAGTGTAGATATCAGCCATTGAACTTAATCAAACTGTTTGATTAAGTGGAAGTTCTTGTTTAAGTTTCAGAGAATTATGTCTTGGAATAATCTAGACAGGAGTTTCACAATTAAAATGACATCATAATGAAGTTTTTATCTCAAATAGAAAAGAAGTTATTGCAAAAATAGTCTCAATTCCAGTCCATATAGGTGCCAGGAGCCAAAAGTAGGTGACACTCAAATGCATATATCTCGAGATTGGAGCAAGATAAAAAAATAGTGAAATTTATTTTCTTATAATCAATTCCTCCACCTGCATAGCAATTTTTTTCAAAATCGAAAATGGTTGAGCTCATCCTCTGATCGATTTGGTGTGGAGTGACCCAAGGGTCAAGATATGTTACACTAATTATGACTCTTTTTTGGTCATTTCTTCTGAAGTATCTTTCGCCCCACACTAATATTATACCAAACTGCTTAGGAGGAGCAGACAAATTGATTGATACCATATACAGCACAAACAAAAAATTTAGGCGACTTGTGAATCACCCTGCATATTAGTAGTCAAGGTACTACTTTCCACTTACATGTTCATTCTTTTATGGCTTTTTGAATCACCCTGTACATAAGTGAAATAAATCAGTTTAAAGAGGGAGTAAGGTCAAAGCAAGTTTCTTCAAGCACAATATGATCAGAACCAGGTACATACAGACTTTCAGAATTGGATGCTGTCAGAATACATAGCACTACAATATGAAGGAAATGCAAATTAAATCAAAATGCATATTAAACCTGACCTTCAATGAAAAAGAGGCACATACACTAGAGATGATTTGTTATATACATATATCAGAAAGAAGCTACCTCAAATTAACATATCTGGAAACACTACCAAGTGAAAGTCTCACGAGACCCAACCAAAAACCTCACCTGGACTACAGCTATAAAATCAGACCTATTCCAGCTTTCAACTTCCCAGTCAGAATGAAAATTTCTCAGCATTTCCCTGCTGCAATCCAACTACAGAAGCAGTTAGATTATAATTTAAGCTCTAGTTCAAGATCCCCCAATTCAAAATCACAATTGAAATTTTCACTATAGAAACAGCTTACAAAATCTGCTGTAATACAGTTGGGAAATTGCAACAAGAACCAACCTGGGTTCAGCATATTCCAGCTATTTCTCAGCTGGAATGGAATTGAATTTACAGCCAAGGGCTAGCTGGAAATTATAGCTGGGATTTTTATACAGGAGATTGGAATGAAGAGAATGCAACAAAAAGACCTGAGAGTTTAGCATGATTTTCATGCAGGTATCAAGTTATAGATTTTTGCCTAGAAGAAGAGCATCCTAGAGTTGGTCTTAAACCAACAAACAAGAGATGGACATGGAGCTTGGGGCTTTGCTCAAAACTTTCCACATCTGTCCTTTTGGTCAGCACCATTGAGGGCAGTGGGCATTATAAAAGAGTAATAATTCCCACCCATTAACCATCCCCTATCCCATTTCAAGTACTGGTTATTATTTAATTGAAAATGTACTGCTTTGAATGGTGGCAAATGTTCTGTAGAAGTTAGCAAAAGGACTTACAAATAATTTTGGGAAGATAAGCAGCAACAACAGGCCTTTGAAGATTCTGTGGTCTCTATACTATACATGAAATTTGAAACAGAGGAGTGAGAACTAATGTCATCCCTAGATCATCTCAATCTGCCTGCATGCAGTTTTAAAAACAGATATGTGAATTGAATCTCCAAGACAAGATTAGAAAACAGATAAAAGTGGCCAAACCTGTAATGAAAGGAGAAGACAAAAATAGTTTGTCAAGTGTGAGCTTAATGGAAAAGGGGGATATGAAAGCAGGTTTCAGAATGAATTGCTACAGAAAGTTCAGTGTTAGTTAATGATTGAAAGTGGATGATGGGGTTAGAGGAGAAGTTGATCAGTTTGCAAATAAAACCTCCAATCACAACACTCTCATTAGACAGGCATTAGAACTGCAGATGCCAGGAAACCAGGAGCAGAAAGGAAGATCATGGAGGGATCTGTCAGTGTTCAAATTGAATAGCCTTCAGATGCACAACAGAAGACCATAGGCTGGTACAGTTTTGGTCAATTACAAAACTAATGCCCTAAAGGAATGGAAGGAATAATTTCTGACTATACTTCAGCTTCACTGCAACCAAAACACATTGCACAGCATCAATCAACATGGAAAGGTGAAGAAGAGAAGCATCATCGAGAATTTCAGGAGAGTCAGGTTTTTGTAATAAAGATGTCTGAGTGGTGAGAGGAAGTGATGTAAGATCCATTAGGAAGATCCTATTTTAAAATTCAAACCATCAACATTATTGAGGAGGCATGAGATTTTAGGCTACATTACTAAAATGGTCAACAACAAACATGGGTGCCAAGTAGTGCATTCATAGCATACACAGCTGATCCAAGAGACAAAACCACTGCACAATGGCAGTTGGCAGAAAAACCAGAGCAAGCCATTCAGAAGATCAGGAAAGCACCATAGAGAAGATATAAAGTCAGAAATAGTCATCACACAAATCTAGATAAAAGATTAGACAAGAACAGACCCAAGTGTAGAGCCATAGACATATCAAAGAGCAGACAACATGAAGGAATAATTCCCCAATTTAAAACTGCATAGTATAACATGCAATCCAGGAATATGGTTAGCAGACGGCTCATATATACAAACAGTTCCAAAAACACATGGCTAACACAGGCAGGGACATTGTTTGTAAAAAAAATCACCATTACACATACCACAGTTGGTGAATTGCATTTTTCAAATGTGTGAAAAGGGGCTTTTCTGTCCTACTTAGCCTCTTCATGCACCTCAACAGCATTTACTGGTGAATATCCACCAGAAAACTTCACATGGGTTTAATCATCAGAGGATACAAAAAGGATTAGGAGATGTCATTGTCAATCAAATGTCAATCATCAATCAACATTGTCAGCCAGGAAAACTTTCATGGCAAAAGTTGGAAACAAAACAGTGCAAGATGAAGAAATTTAAAAGTTGAATAATTTAAGAAAGGGAGATTTCATGAGGTTAAACATGCTCACCAGATTTTTCTACTGAGAAACAAAACATCAGAGTGGGCAATGAAACCAAAAGAGGTGCTTACAGGCAGTCAGGGGGACAACTCCAAGCCATGCTATGCCAACCAGTGTGTAATGAAACCAGAACCGGATGGCCTTGATGGCATGCTTCAAGATTCCTTTGAAGATGTCCTTCACAGGCAATGTCTTCGGCATATCAGGGGAATAGACTGGAGACACAAAAAAAATTACATCATGATCCTCATTGCACAGTGAATACTCCAAAGATACCCCTTGAGACCAATAATTAAAAATACATTACACCTTGTATTTTCCCACAAGTTGCAGTCATCCTACACCCAATAGGGAGCAGGCACCAAAATAATAATATAATACAGTTTTAGGGTGCCTTTGGAATTATAATGAAAATAATGAAACCAACCTTGACAAAATCACTTCACTAAAGAGAACGATACTGCCCAATAAGGCAAACTATTCAACACAAGAATCAACCATCTACCAGAAGCATGTCTTCATTGGTAAAGATAATTTTATCAAGGTTGGTTTGGTTATAAGAGTAGTTATAAAAGTAAAATGCTTGTTTCTGAGAATAACTCCTAGAAATTTCCCAGCAAAGTAATATGAATAGGAATTAGTTTGTCTCATTACAGAAAATATACCTCAAACAAGAACAATCTTATGGTGATAGTTTAGTCCTTTTATTTAAGAACCAGATATCCTTTCTGAGATCTTCAAAGTTACTTTCTGGTGAAATAGAAGCTGCATCAGCCTAGTATGATCTTTATTGATGATTGGTGCATCATTTCTTCCTTCATCATCTGGATTTGCATTTTCTCTTCTAATGAGACATACCAAACAGATCTTTCCTGCAGGCTGAATAAGAAGCAGCAGATATATAGATTCAAATTTCAAAATCCAACTTGTGCAAAAACTCCATGAACAGATGAGGCAACCAGGGAAGATGCCAAGGTAAGGCTAATTTTCATCATAACTTAATTTCATCATTTTACATGAAACAAGATAAAACAGGGAAGACCAAAATACCCACCAGAAATATCAGGTTTACCATTAAGATGGTCAGTCAGTAAGTTACAAATTAAAACACACAAAAAAGAAACACATAGACTGTGGAAGTAACATTTATTTCTTAACATAATCTCCCTGTACATTGAGGCACTTGTTTCACCTCTTTACCAACCACTGAAAACCTGCTATGTAAAAAGACATGGATTGATGAACTTCATTTTCAACTGCTGCATTATCCAAAAAGCATCTGCCATCAAGTACATTTTTCAGCAGGCCAAACAGGTGAAAATCAGTCAGTTTTCAAGGCTTAGTCCCATGGGTACAGCTTTCTGATCAGGTTTCAGTTCCCTGGGAACCCATCATGCAGAAACTTTTCTGAATTGCAGGCGATCATGAATAACAGCATGGGTTAAACCATGGGCACATCCTATAGCCTCTGTTACTTCATCAACATGTACTTGCCTATTGGCTCATATCATTTTTTCAACTGCCACCATAACATTGGCATTCACAATTTCAACAGGCCGTTTTTGTCCTTAAGGCTGCAACATCCACCTGCAAATTTCTGGTACCAGTTGTACACAGCTTGACACGATAAACACTTATCACTATACACTGGAAGCATTTCCCTGTGAATATTCTTGGTGGCATGTCCTTTGGCCCAAAGAAAGTGGACAACAGCACACTGTTCCTCAATTGTACATACATCAAGCACAGTAGTAATCTTTTTTGCTACCCCAATAACTGTCAAATGGCACTTTTGACAAAACAACCGAATTATATTAATACCTTCCTAGATTGTGCTGCCATCGAGTGAGTAACAAAAAAAGGAACTGAAACGTCTAGTTCCATACCAATGTTAATTTGTAACTTACTTACTGACTAACCCTTGTAAAATAAGCCTCTTTGTGCTTGAATGAATAAATCTTGAACAATATTGTGTAGAACTCACTGGGCATGAAGGTGAAATAGTGATTGCAGACTTCACAAAAGTCTCTTTTGCTATACTTGAGCCAGACTGTGAGGCAGTCCTGATGAATGAACTTGATGCTGCCTGTGCAAACACATGGGTGATACAGAGGACGATCAGGTGCCCCTTCAGTTCGACATACCCGACAAATGTCGCCTGCAATTATACAAACCCATAAAAGTTTCCTAAGAAATAATTTTTCCACATCTAAATGAAGTGAAAAAATTTCCCAACTTTAGACCTAAAAATATACTGTGAGTAATCAAAACTAGTAGTCCCTTAAGAAAAAAATTTAAGCAAAAACAAAATAGCCTACCAGGAAAAAAATTAGAAACAAAAAAATAGTACTTGTAGTTTTCAAATTTGATAAAAATACAAGTTAAAAATATTAATAAAACACTTATAAGAATCAATGTAAAATAAGGCATATTTTATTCAATGAATCAACATGGATAAGTAACATGATTAACTAAATAATTGCATTCCCCTTTAATGGTAAGTGCAACAAAATACAACAATAAAATGATTCCTTCACATCCCCTCTTATCATACTTGCAAATGGATAGAGGAACTAGAACCAACTACCTAACACTAGAAATATCAGAGCAGTCAATTTGACTGCAGCATTAAAAGTAGCATTAAAATATTATCCTGAAACATTTCATTTTCTTTTTCCAGATGTTATTTGGCAAGGTCAAAATTTTGATATTGGATAGGAAAAGCAAAAACTGCAGATGACCTTACTTGGCAAACAAGCAGAGTAAAGCACATTAAAAATCAACAAGCAGTCAAAATTACTTCCCCTGTAGTTCTGGTGTTGAAAAGAGGGGAAAAAAGGCAAAGTAATATTACATAATAGGCAAAGCAGACTTTCTTTCACCAATATGGAACCTTCAAAAGTGCAGAGGGGTTAAACCCTCCTCAATGCATCAAAAGAGCAACCAAAGTATAATTACTGTGAGTAGTTTTTGCTTGAAAAAGGCATTCTTTGACCAACAACCATGTTCAAGAAAAGCAGAACATCATTTGAAAACACCTTTTCTTAACTGCAGTATCAATTAAACTGCCATAATGATCATATCACAATATTAAACTATTTGTATTTTGACAAAGCTTTTGTTAATAGTTTCTCTCATTGTATAATGTTTATTTTGCACTTCATCTATTTTCCCCTTATCGAAGTTTGCCAGTGATAATTTACCTTAACTTCTACATACAAATGAAAAGAGTATAATCAATTGGGACTTACATAAAACAAAGAGAAATACTGCTTACTTCTTTTATTATTTTGATTGATGTAGCAAAACATTTTTGAACCCCATCTCTATATGCATTGTTTAACTGCCTGTTGAAAAAGGCAGTTGGCTGAGAAGTAACATTCCAATCGACTGATTAGGCTTTGATAGGCCTAGTTGAGTTAGGCTAGGCTAGGGCAGTAGATACATAGTGACCAACCTTGAGTCTCATCCATGTCCTGATCCATTGTCACTGCCTCCATTCTTGACTTATCACAACAGATGATGGAAACAAGATTGTAGTTGGGTTGCAGGCTTCAGGTATGCCTACCAATTAAGGTTGAACGTAAGGCCCGCTGTTAGCCTAAAGTCATGTCACCAGGAAAATTCTAGCAAACTCAAATTTTCCAACTTGTTTCCCCATGAGTGTAATCATTTTGAGTGCACTGAGTTGTAACTAGGCCCTTGGCCCACATCTATGAAAGAGAATGGATTTATCATGAACTTCAGGATAATCCCAATGGCAGACAAGTGAGCTGTACTCTTTTGGTGTTTGGACTGAAAGACTGAGAAAGCCAACCTACATAGGGGAATGATTAATTAATTGGATTATGAAATAAATGTGGTATTTGGCTATGACCCTTTTCTAACCATAATTTACTCCTCATTCTGCACAGTAGGTTGGCTTTCTCACTCTGTGGCCTTTGACACAAGGGGAGTGGTAAAATAAATGGACTCCATAAACTGTGCTAGTGCAGGTCTCACTTGAATGAGGGAGAATAGCATGCAGGAAGGGGTTAGAAAAATACAGTTAGAGTGTGCAAGCCTTAGAAGCATTCAAAGAATACAGCACCATTGCATAGCACAGCAACTAATGCCAACAAATGCTGGAGCCTGGGTGGAGAGTGCAAAAGGCTACTCTGAGTTGCTAATAAGAGTCTAATTATTATATCCAAACATCAGTATACCAACTCATCTCAAATCTCTCAGCTATCACTCCAATCTATTCATGAAGTAGGTTTCATGTGATATACCTATTGAACCATTCTGCCAATAGTCCACTGTGGAAATCCTCCCCAGTGGGGTCTGGCCCTAACCAAAACCAGCATACACAGTTTTAAAAGAATTTGTTCTATCTTCCCTACTCCTTGGATAGTGAACATAGAAAGCACTACTTCCAGAGGGTCTAATACATCATATGATCCATAAACCCACATTTGAGAAGGTATCATAATATGTAAGGCAGTGTCTGTTAGCTGAGCTGGCTCAGCCCTGACTTAGGGGACAAGCTGAAAAGTCACCTGACTCATGACATCTCAGTTCTTAGACCAATACTATATAGAAGAGAGCTCAGCCTCTAAATTGTGGACGAGCCAGCTTTCTGAAGTGGAAAAGAATTTGTATAGTTAGGCTAAAGTCTTAAAAGATGTGTATTCTAGAGAGATAGCTTTCATCATATTACTAGTGCCATGTGCATCTTTTTCAGCAGCTTCAACCAAAGAGTAACTATCAGGTCATCCCATAAGTAATGTGGTTTTTTGGCATTGCCAAACTTGTGTCTTGTTTATACATGTATCTGTGCACATCTCATGGAATATTTCTATGCTAACTTGTGTAGACATTAGTCTTCAGTCTACATGTAGGTTTTAATGAGTTAACAGCGCTCCGTTTTTCTTAGACGTTAAAAACAAGATGGAGGTGTCAGAAGAACACATTCAGCATATAATGCTTTATGAGTTTAAGAAAGGGAATAATGCGACTGCAGCCACGAAAAACATTCAAGATGTTTTTGGCGAGGAAGCTCTAAATGCGAGGAAATGCCAACGGTGGTTCCAGAAATTCAGGTCTGGCGACTACAGCTTAGCCGATGAAGCGCTTTCAGACCGACCTGTTGAGTTTGATGATGACCTGATGATAGCCACACTTGAAGAAGATCCTGCTGTAACAATTGAAGAACTTGCCCAGAAACTCAATTCGACCCATTTCTCCGTTCATTGCTGCTAGGAAACGACAGGAAACAACGGCTGGGAAAAGCGTCAAAACTTGGAAAGTGGGTTCCACATGTGTTGTCACCAGACAATCTTAGAGATTGGGAAAACATTTGCGCTTCACAGCATTCTCGTGAACTTCAAGCGCTGTTTTTGAATTGACTCATTAGCAGGATAATCTTCAAGTGTGGCTATCTGCAGGTCATCATCGAACTCAACAGGTCGGCCTGAAAGCGCTTTATCGGCTAAGCTGTAGTCACCACACCTGAATTTCTGGAACCACCGTTGGCATTTCCTCGCATTTAGGGCTTCCTCGCCAAAAACATCTTGAATGTTTTTCGTGGCTACAGTCGCATTATTCCCTTTCTTAAACTCATAAAGCATTATATGCTGAATGTGTTCTTCTGACACCTCCATCTTGTTTTTAACGTCTAAGAAAAATGGAGCGCTGTTAACTCATTAAAACCTACATGTAGACTGAAGACTAACGTCTACACAAGTTAGCATAGAAATATTCCATGAGATGTGCACAGATACACGTATAAACAAGACACAAGTTTGGCAATGTGAAAAATCGCATTACTTATGGGATGACCTGATATTAAGATGCAGGATTCGACAAAATCCCTAAAATCTATATAGTTAGGGTAGAGGGCTCGCTCAAGGCCCTACTTGTGTAAAGAGAAGAGCCTTTAATGGGTCATTTCAAAAGTTGATTTAAATTTACCCACGTTCCAACACAAGACATCTTAAATTAGTTAAGTTGCATGTCATCTACTTCCTAACCTGACATAACACCTTTTAAACAACCATGATATACTACAATAATGAAGAGCTGTCTAGTTTTGTGATGACGAGGTGAAAAAGATTGCTCAAAAGTCTTCTCACAAGGCAAACGAAGCAGCTTCCTCTACCTTGCAAGACATGCCTGTGTTTGGTGGTCTGCAGGATACTGTATTGTGTTAGTAATGATGTTAGAGATTATTTCCAGCTCGGCCTTGAAGTCAGGGGCGAGCCAACTCGGCCAATAGGCACTACCAATATGTAATGGAAACGATGGAAGTACTCTATTGAGGGGGAAAGGGTTGACATGATTCAATTAGAAAATAAAGGACGTCTAAAACAACTTTTTTCTGCCACGAATCTCCCAATGTGAAATAGTACCACTTCTGCACAACCCAAACTTCCATTCTCTACTGCGAAGTATCCTTTTTAAGATTATTCAAATATCCTTGACTTCACACAAAATGCTAGACTTAGGCCGACACATCCCGGAACATCGTCACTCCCCTGCACGCAACCAGAAGCTCCTCCCATACACAATCCATAGTCAGCTTGAGTCATTTTCATCCTTCCTGAAGCCCCAAATGGAAACCACACCCAAAACCGCAGAACCCAGAATTTCTTCTCTTCCTCCTAAACATACTCTCACTTCTCTCACCTCTCCCTTGTGCATCGCCATTTACAAAGATCACGTGACGGATTCAGTGTTGCCCTCACCTAATTTGCTTAAATATTATTTAGAAACTCGTGAGGCTCTAGAGCAGCAGTCTCAAATTCGTTTCAGTGTGCAGAATCTACTACTACCTTATATTATGTATATAGAGCCTGAAACATTTCCCTCTCTTTGCCTGCAGGTGGGTCGCGGGAAGCGAGTTTGCGACCTGCTCAATAGAGATACGCACATCCACTTCCAAGGAATAGAATTCACAGAAAATAACTTAAAGACGACAATTTTCACTTTCCAGTCATTACGACGATGTGCAAACAATTTCTCAACGTTTCACTCGTAGTTCCCACAATTTCACAAGACAAGAATGAATGAGACTGAACAACAACTAAAATGAAACATGTATAGGCCTGCAAATAAGGGTGAATTGTTGGTGCTCGAAGGGGTACAGAGGAGGGCCAGAAGAATGATAAAGGAGGTTAGGGGACTTCCGTACGAGAAGCGTTTAGAAGTGCTGGGACTGTACTCGCTCGAGAGAAGGTTAAGGAGGGGCGATCTCATCCAGGCTTTGGGGCCGTTCACAAATTACGTAACGCAAGGGGGGGAGGGGGGATTAGATAAAGTCTCTCCCTCCACGTGCCTGCCTCCCCTCCTTGCATTACGTAATTTGTGAACTACCCCTTTCAAAATAATTAAAGGAATAGATAATGTCGAGTGTGGATGGTTCTTCCAGTTCGATGGCAGCCGGAGAACGAGAGGTAATCAACTAAAGTTTCGCAAACCGAGGTGCGGCTCGGGTCGAGACATTATTTTTTTACTTGTTGAGTGGTGAACGCGTTAGACGACGACGTAGTGGCTCCCCCTTCCGTGAATATTTTAAAAAGAATAGATGCTTTTATGGACAAGCAAAAAGGGGACAAGGTTGACTTAAGGGGCTAGGCAACATATGCCTTCAAAAACTAGCAAATAAATAAATAAATATGTAACTTTAAGAGGAGTAGGCCTACTCTAAAATTTAGGAACGCTCGACCTCGACACGTGGTATCCAATTCGGTGTTATCACCTCTTCATACCTCTAAACCACCTTGAATCTGGACCTTGTATCCTTAGCTCGAAAACAGATAAAAGGGATCTTCACGCCGACGAGGTTCTCTCGGTCTGGGTGAAAGTGTTCCAACGAGAGTTGATTTTGTCTTTTCGTTTGTCACTAATTCAAAAGCAGGATTAGAACCTTACAGATATTTTCTATCACTCACCAAGTTCTCTTCTAGGGAGGTCTCGCGTGTCCAGTAGAACCTTTTGGGAAATTTCTTTCACCACAAGTGAATCTATCCCCTCTAAAGGATTCAAACAACTAGCACAGGCTGAAACGGTGCTCCTTAATTTGCCAAATTGGACCAACAAGGAAGACCACAGAGTTGAGTCCCTAGTCGAGCCATCCTTCCTGCGACCTTCGGATCGATATTGCCTGGAGTCTCCCGCGCTGACTACTTTTTAGAGCAATGATTCTCAAACTCCCTTTTACTCCCATAGAAGATCGGTGTATTCGGTGGTCCGCCGACCACAGATTGAGAACCTCTACTTTAGAGTTCTGCATTGAGGTATTTAATTCTCTTTTCCTAAGTCTTCTGTAAGAAGAGGTCGAGTACGAGGAGTGCTCATGAGTACTCAACCCACCAGTAGCATCAGGGAGTGACTCGCTTCATCGGCCATTTAGACGCCGTTTCTGTTCGGTTGTAAGAACCTTTCTTGCTCGAGTAAGAGTCAACCACTGCCCCAACACGACTCAGATTCGAGGCTTTCATGTTTCACAGCTGTGCACACCCCACTGCTGTCTTGGGCCACCAAATGAATGGCCGATCGTTCTTGCAACTCAGTCACAACGGTGACTTGGCCAATCCGCTCATTCGTCAAAATTGTGCCAGCTGCCCGGATCAGCCATAGACCAATGAAAATTCTCGACTGGAATGCTGTAAGATGACTTTAAAAGCTCATTCATAGCGGTAAAATGACATAGGCATAGGAGTGGGACACTTGACACGAATAT